AGGGAGCCGACTGCTTGTCGGACCGCCTGTAAATACTTGATCATGGCCGGATGGGTTGCTTCGTATTTGCCATTGTACTGACTCACTATCAATTGTGAATCGGAACAGGCGTCTATTTTTCTTGCCCCTGCCGCCTTGCACATGCGGATTCCGGCTAGTAAAGCTTCATATTCTGCCTCATTGTTTAAGGCCTGAAAACTGAAGCGTAGAGCATACTCGTACCTGTCGCCCTCTGGCGACTGACATATGACGCCTGCTCCACAACCATTTGAAGTAGAGCTTCCATCCACATATACCTTCCAGACTTGGTCTGGAACTTGAGAGTCAGGAGGACGAGTCATCTCAACAATAAAGTCAGTAAAGGCTTGCCCCTTCACTGCTTTTCTAGGCTCGAAGGTAACTTCGAGGCTCTGTATTTCTATGGCCCATTTGATCATTCGGCCTGACGACTCCATGATGGTCAGTGGCCGCTTGATAGGTTGGTCTGTATACACGACGACTGCATGTGCCAAAAAGTAGGGCTTCCATTTTTTAACAGCCATGAAGAGTGCAAGACCAAATTTCTCCACTAAAGGATACCTCAACTCGGCATTTTTCAGTACGTGACTGACAAAGTAGACCGGGAGCTGACAGTCGTCTCTTTCAGCAAGGAGAATAGCGCTTAACGCATGATCAGAGACGGCCAGGTACATGTAGAGTACTTCTTTGGGCAAAGGGCTAACCAGCCTCGGCAAAGAATGCAAGTGAACTTTCAATTTCTGGAAGGCCGCCTCAGCATCCGGCCCCCATTCAAACCTTGCCTTTTTCTTAATTGCCTGGAAAAAGTATAGGCATTTGTCGCCTGATCGGCTTAGAAATCTTCCCAAGGCCGCCAGACAACCTGTTAACTTCTGAACCTCTCGGATGGTACGAGGCGACTGCATGTCGATGACCGCCTGCACCTTCTAAGGGTTCGCCTTTATTCATCTCTGATTAATAAGGAATCCGAGAAATTTCCCAGACTCAACTCCAAAGACACATTTCTTGGGATTGAGCATGACATGGTGCCGCCTGAGTGTGGCGAAAGTTTCTCGGAGGTCCGACAGATGATCTTTCTGAAGTTTAGACTTGACAATCATATCATCAATATATGCCTCGACATTTCTCCCAATCTGATCAAAGAACACAGTGTTTATCATTCGCTGGAAAGTGGCCGGGGCATTCTTAAGACCAAACGGCATGACCGTGTAACAGTATAACCCCTGATCAGTGACGAAGGCCGTCTTCTCCTGATCTTTCTTCCATAAAGGAATTTGATGGAAACCAGAGTAGGCGTCCACAAAGCTCATCAAAGCATGGCCGGCTGTTGAGTCGACCAGGTTATCAATTTTAGGCAGAGGGTAACTGTCTTTGGGGCACGCCTTGTTTAAGTCTGTGTAGTCTACACACATTCGCCAGGTGCCATTCGGCTTTTTAACAAGCACCACATTTGCAACCCAGTCTGGGAAGTAACATTGCCGAATGAACCCTGCATCAAGTAATCTTTTAACTTCGGCGGCTGCCGCCTGACTTCTTTCTTCGCCATGTTTCCGCTTCTTCTGCCGTACCGGCTTCTTTTTCGGATCCACGGCCAGTTTATGTACCGCCAGATCAGGACTAATGCCTGGCATTTCATGGACTTCGAATGCAAAGATGTCCTTGTATTCTTTCAATAGTTTGTGAAAGTCGTCACCCAGGTCCCTTAGAGCAGTCGTCCCAACCTTGATTGTTCTGTCAGGACGCGAGTCATCTAAGATCAGGTCCGTATGCTAACAAGCTGGCTGAGGGCGAAATTCATCCGACCGCTCCTCTGCCAATGATTGCTATTTTCTATCTTTTCTTGCGGCCCCTGTCTGGGATGCCTTTCTCTTCTTATCGCCTGCTTCTTGAACAGGCGCACTCTCCTTGACATTGTCAAGATCTATTTTTCCACCTCTCGACCCAGTGGCATAATAGTGGGCTTGACATCCGAGAGATAGCACTCTCAGGCCATCCTCTGATCTCCCCTTAGGGACCCGACTGTTCCATTATCCCTCTCAAACTTGAGCAACATAAGAGATGGGATTATAACAGCCTTGGAATTATTTAGGGTTGGTCGTCCCAGAATCATGTTGTAGGCCGAGAGTTCTTCTACTACCAGGAACCGGACTACCATGTGTCGTCCTTCCCCTTTTTCGCCCAGGCGGATGGGTAAATTCACTCATCCCACTGGGTGGACTCCTCCTCCTCCAAAACCTACTAAAGGGTGGGATGCCGGATGTATGCAATCAGTCTGATATTTTAGTTTCGACATACATTTTCTACTGATGAGATCTGAGGAGCTTCCGGTATCTATGAGGATTCGGCCAACTCTCTGGTTGGCCACTTTACATTCAACAACGATAGGGTCGTCATGCGGCCCTCTTACCCCTCCTAGATCTTCTTCTTCAATGATGACAATCTCAGGAAATGAATATTTGGAGGGCCGTTCTTGGTGAACGGAATTTACATCTAACCGTCTGATATTGTCTTTGTTGCCCCTAATAGTGGGGTCGCCTCCTGAGAAGCCGCCTGCAATGGTGTAGACGACTGCATCATCTGTATCGGAGCTGTCGGCCTGTTGATTCTTTTTGGTCGACTGCTTTTTTGAGGAAGTGTTCCCCGTAGATTCCTTGACATAAGTGTCAAGGTCACCTTGCTCAGCCAGGTGGTCCAGATACCGCATGAGACTGATGCATTCATTGGTGTGATGACCAACATCTTCATGATAATCACAGAATTTTTCTTGGTTCCGATTGTTTGCAGAACCCTTCATGGGGATCGGCTTCTCAATTGAGATCCGTCCCTTGATTTCCTTTAGGATAAATTGGCTATCCTTGTTAAACACATACTTTGGGGAGTATGGTTTGAATTTTTTTCCTTCTTCTAGGACGGCTGTTTGGAGGAATCAGTTGCCCAGACCTCTTTTCTCTTCTCGTCTTTGTTTGACGACTGGTTCTGTCGTCCTTCTCTTTTGTCGGACCTTTTCCCATCTGACTGTTTTACCGTACTACAAAGATCAGTCGCCTGTATATAGGCTTCCGTTTCAATCAAGGCCTCTTGAAGAGTCGCCACCCTCTTTCGGACTAAATCAAATTTGAAGGTCGGCCCGTCTTTGAGACCTCTGAAAAAAGTCAGTATAGGCTACTTCATCCGGTAACCCTTGAATTTGTATTCTCATCAGGTTAAATCGCCTGATGTAAGAACGAAGCCCCTCCTTCTCGCCCTGCTGAATTGTTCCTAAATCAAGGGTCGTCTTCTTCGCAGGGATGTTCATGGCGAAGTTGGAGGTGAATAAGTAAGCAAGCGTCTTGAAGTCATTTACACAACCAGTTGGCAGGTTGCCGAACCATTGTTGTGCGATTCCTTTGAGAGTCGCTGGGAAACACTTGCATCAAGTGGGATCATCCAACCCTTGAAGGTACATCAGGTTGGTGAATGCCATCAGATGGTCTTCTGGGTTAGTAGTGCCGTCATAGGCGCCTACTAATACATTTTTCACTTTGGCCGGCTGAGCGGCTTCAGTAATTTCCTTGGAGAAGGCCGATGGCTGTTCACCAAGTCTAAGCAACCGTAGCTGCCAGTCCATAGGTTGGACATTTTTTGCTGCATGTCCACCAAACGGAGGTGGCTGTAAAAAATACTGTTGTTGCGGCACAAACGGTAAGTTTGGTACCGCCTGGTCGCTATAAAAGCCGGACTGACGGGAGGTGCCGCCTGACTGACTCTCATGATACGACTGAGTATGCCTCATCGAGGTATTTCGCAGACTGTCTTGGAAGTTTGAAGTAGAGGCCGACTCTGACAATCGGTCACTCTTCTTCTGCTCTAGCAGTAGCCGAGCGTCTGTGTATGTTTTCCTCGACCCGTCCGCCTGAATATGACAAACAGGTTTCCTATTTCCTGGAGTAGGAAAACGGTATTTTGTGAAATCAAGGGCAGGTGGCTCCCACTTCCTAGATTTAGGATGAGGGGTCGCCTCTCGCCCATGAAGTGGAGGGTTTCTTAGCCGACTGCTCCTTGTCCAGAGCAGGCGGCTTCTTGTTGATCAACTCTTGAATTTCTCCCTTGAAGTCCCTCATGAAGGTCATGAGTTCGTTCCTTGTGATGGGAGCAGACCCATCAGTCGGCTGCTGCCGAACAGGCGGTGCGCCTGCTGGCTCGCTTCCAGTTTGAAGATGTTCCCGTTCCCTCCTTTCGGTATGACGGGTACGTCGGGCCCTTAGGGTCCCGTCTAAAGCTGTGTGAGCTTCAACTTCAAATTCATTCTTAGTATCGTGGTCCGACTGAACTAGAGGATCGTCCAGGGGACCTCTCTCTTCAGGAGTCGGTACAAACGTGGGTGCCATCTCAGAAGTACTCTCCCCACAGACGGCGCCAAAATGTTTCGGGGTTTTCTGATGTCCTGCGGGAGAGTTACAATTCCGAGACTGGAACCGGACGCCTGTACCTGCAAAACAAACGGATGCTCCGGATGATTGGAGATCCGCCTCCGACGGTCAAGTTAGTACTTGATTAAGGAGTAATTAATGCGGAAATTAAAGTGATTGGGTCTCTCTAGGTGAGAGTGTTTAATGTGTGTAATCTGCGTAATCTCCCTTAATGAGGATTAAGGGAGGTATTTATAACCTCGGGAAACGTGCCAATCTAGGATTAGGTTAACCTTGGGCTGATTGGGCTTCCCTCGAAAGTTGGGCCTAGGTGACCGGCTTCTCCATTAGGCATGGAGTATGCCACGTGTCATGACATAATAAGTCCAGGGTGGACGAATAAGCGTGTGCCACGTGGCAAGCCCTGAGAGGTCCAACCGGGGGACACTTGGCAGGACCTGATTGGCCCACGTGGCGCATTCCGATTGGTGGGAGCAAAATCCCCTAATCAAATACTACCTTCTGGATGATATATATTCCTAACTTTATCTTGCAAGTTGCCCAAATATCTCTCAAAAGGATACATATTTCTTGTTACAATGGACCACATATTTTGATTTCTTGAACGAGATGCACAATCACATGTACCATTACATCGAAGAATGACGGTGGAAAATACATTTCAAATTGACACAAAGTGACAATAACTTCTGCTTGTAGATCATCTAAAGACTTGGGATCAACCTCTTTACTGAAAATTGCACTGAAAAAGAAGCAAAGTCTTGTAATGGCATTCCTCACATGCTTTGGTAAAATCCCTCGAATTGCAATTGGAAGAAATTGTTGCATCATGACATGGCAATCATGAGACTTCATACCTACCAAATTCAATTCATTTTTGGACACAAGTCTTTTTATGTTTGATGAATAACCAGATGGAACTTTAATGCCACGTAAACAATCAATAAAGCTCTGTTTTTCAATTTTAGACAAAGTATAGCAAGCATGAGGTAAGTATTTGCCTTTATCCATATCTTGAGGTGCTAACTCAAGACTTATCTACTTTTTTGTCATATCCAACCTAAAATTTTCACCATCCTGGGTCTTTCCCTTTATATTCAACAATGTATCGATAATGCTTTCAAAAATATTTTTTTCAATTTGCATCACATAAAGACAATGTCTGACCTCTAAATGATTCAAATACGAGAGATCCCACAATGGGGACTTCTTCTTATAAAGGCTTCCTTTTTTAGCCGTATATGGCTTTCCATAAGGTGTGCTGATATTTTTCACCCGCTCATACACTTCACTACCAGTAAGGGGAGACCAAGCAACTCCGATCTCAACTTTCCCATTAAAGGGTTTTTTCATCTTCCTATAAGGGTGATCGAGAGGTAAAAATGTACGAGTGTGCATATAAACAATCTTTCCATAAAAATCTAAATACTCATCCACCATATTATCTTCACATATCGGACATGCTTTTGCCCCCTTATTTGTGTAATCTAATAAGTTAACGTACGCAGGAAAATCGTTAATTGTACAGAATATCATAGCCCGTAACCTAAAGTTTGTTTTAGTGTAAGAATCAAACACATCAACACCTTCACCCCACAATAATTTCAAGTCATCAATGAGAGGTGCAAGGTAAACATAGATGTCATTTCCCGGTTGTTTTGGCTCTGATATCAAAAGAGACAACATAATATACTTTCGCTTCATACAAAGCCAAGGAGGTAAGTTATATATGGTCAAAACAACTGGCCAAGTACTGTGCTGCGTACTAGGGTGCCTTACGGGTTCATACCATCAGTACATAGACCAAGCCTTAAATTTCTCATTTTAGTACCAAATTCGGGGAACTCCTTATCAATGGATTTCCACTGTAGAGAATCTGCAGGATGTCTAAGAATTTCTTCTTTCTTTCTCCCTTCAACGTGCCATATTAAATTCTTTACTTCTTCCTTATTTGAAAAAAAGCACTTAAATCTTGGTATAATTGGAAGATACCACAACACCTTTGATGGAGGTCCTTTTTCATCTATTGTACCATCCCCCTTCTTACACTTGTAGCGTGACAACCCACATCGTGGACACATATGGAGATCTTTGTACTCATTACGATACAATATACAATCATTCGGGCATGCACGTATTTTTTGATACTCCATACCCATAGGACAAAGCATCTTGTTTACTTGATATGTAGATATTGGAAGTCCATTCCCCTCTGGAAACATGTCTTCCAAATCTTCCAATAGAGATGTGAAACTTTTATTAGTTTAACCGTGCTTTTATTTTAAGTTAAATAGCTTCAACACAGTAGACAAGATGCTACACTTAGTGCAACCTGGATACAATGGCTTTTTTGCAGCACCTAACAAAGTCTCATACGTACTAGGTCGATCATTCAAATTGTCTTCTACATCTTGCATCATCTCATTAATCTCATCATCCTCAACATCAATGTCCAAGTTATCAATATTGTTATCATGGCTATCATTATCCCCTACGAAATCGCATCCCTTGTGCACAAAGTTAATATTGCTCTCCCCATGAGTTATACTCTCACCATGCCATATCCACCTTATATAGTTCAACCTAAAGCCACGACATGTCAAATGTTCCCTGATTTGATCAACATTACGAAACCTTCTAGCATAATCACAGTTTGAACAAGGGCAAAGTATTGACTCGTCTCCGTTTTTCAACTGATTTTCAACCGCACATGCGACAAACTCCTCCACCCCTTGTATGAATTGCATTGTGGTCCTTGTACCATACATCCAACTGCGATCCATATCTAACAAGTAAAAATAAACATACAGTTACATCCTAAGTGAGATAAAACGTTTAAGGACAATCCCATATAGGGGATTATTTAAGACTTACTACTAATGAGTAAGCCTTGAAGGGAATCTAGGATCTTGAAACATAGAAAATATTTTTATGTACTGTAACCGAAACTTAAATTGGATTACATTCATCAAACAACAAGTATTGTTCTATTTATTTTCTTATTCTACCCTCCCTATAAATGAGTCCCTAAAAATACAGCATACTATCAAAATATTAGTAATTCATAGATAAGTTATTGATAGTCTCAAAATATTAAAAATAATAATTTATATAAAAAAAATGCCTCTTACAAACTATCATTGTATTATAATCATCCATTTCACTTTGAAGGCATACTTTGACAATAATATTTTTATATTAAAAGATTAATTAAAGGGAATCTCAAGAAAGGAAAGGAGACATATCTACACTTAGACCATCAAAAGGTATAATTTCGCTTGCAAATGCCAATGAGAAAGTGCTTTGTAAGCCATAAATGTAAATTACAATAAGTTCAATTGACATATAATTTATAATTTATTAGTAAAATCAATCAAGAAACAACCAAATTCTTATAATAAAAATAGAATATCAATGTTCTTCTAAAAAAGATTTGTTATAATAACTTAATCAAATTTAATTTTATGAATTTCTTTTATTAAAGATAAAGCCACTCTTTTGACGTTACACATTATTGAAATCCACCTAAGTCTTGATAGTGTGGTACAAAGGGATTAAAGATAAGAAATTATAACCTATATATATAGCTAGTCCGAATTGTCACCAATCAAATACCCAATTAACAGAAGTTATTTTTAAGAATCTTCCTAGATTTTCCATGGCTAGAATGTTTAATAAGAGAGTTTTTGTACTTCAATCATAACTAAAATAGTATGATATCGAATTGAATAAATACTTCATTACATCATTGATCTCGTGAATCATCCCAAATTACAAGTAACACTTTATAAAAGGAAATAACTGCTTTTTTAAAAATATTTATCTACTTCTCATACATGATAATCTGTGTAGAATTTCATATATCTAGTTGCAAAACTTGCTATTGGATGTTCTAATTATAAGCTCTGGCATTAGTGGTTAGTGTACTGATCGTTTAGATTAATGATTAAGTAGTTATTGGGCTTTTTTTTTCTTCATAATCAAATTTTTGTAATTCTTTGCATATGTTATAATAGAGTATCTCACCACTACAATATAAATGCTTTGATACGCAAAGGTTAGTTTTTCTAAAAGACCAATAATGACTTGACTGATGCTATTTGTAATTTTGTCACTTCTCCCTCCCTTTATTAAAATTAAAACAAGTCTTATTTCATCAGTTACTTGCACTTTTTTTTATGGTTAATAATCTACACCCTGTTTATCACAATATATTGCAAATTTTCATTTCCATGTCAAATAATAACGAGTTAGACCATAATTTATCGTTTTTTATATACTACCTCCGTTATATATTATTTTCAACAATTTGACATAATGTGTGAGTAGAAGTGTCTAATTGTTGCAAATAATATGAAACGGAGGTATTATATTGTTTTTTCCACTTTTAGCTCCACATACGTATCCTTCGTATATCATTTCCTTGTTTTTGTAATTCTTTAAAATTTATCAAAAAAAAAAAAAAAAAAAAACCTAGCAAGCACACGAAATTTTATGTTAACCATTATACAATTTACTTTGGTCAAGAACTTTGTAGTAATTGCAGGTTATATCTAAAAATTTATTACGTTGTAGTTTAACTTATTATAAACTACCATATACAAAACATGTGTAAAACATGGTTGACTATCAAATCAAGAAGCGATAAAAAAAGAGCAGAATTTCGATAACTATACTACAGACCTATAATATACAAAAACTAATAAACATAAATCAATTCATAGTCTGTAGCAAGAATCGACTAATAATTGTCAATTTCATCTTTTATTGCGTAAATTGGACTAAAAATTTTATTTTTTCAACATTAATCAATCCCCTACTACATCCAAAAAAACAATTGACAATTAAAAAGGGCTTTTTCCCCAATTATATCTTATAAACTAGAATTATACAAGTATCAATTAAACTGAAATTTTGAGGTTGATGATTGATTCCTTTTACAATTAAAAATTAAAATCTATATCAATCTACTTCATATAAAACTATCACAAATCATTAACATAAAGTCTAAATTGTATATCAATAATTCAAGAGTTGATATACAAGTGCTCGAAAAAAAAATCAAGAATTTGAAAGAAAAATCACTAACCTTTACTTCAATAATATGTAGATGTTGGGTGGTGGCATCAGTAATGAATTTTGTGATTTTGTGTTTTGTAGACTGTGGGAGTATCTGGTTCATGTATTGTTCCTTTGATATGGCTGGAAAAGTTGCTAACCGATTGGAGTAGTGGAGTCGTGGAGCAGGAAAGCAAACAATTTTTTTTTTATTATTATTTTGGGGGGGAGAAAAATAAAAAGCGGTGAAAGGAATTATTGTACAGATTTAATTATGTTCAATGCTTTTGGAAGTAGTGTACTTTGAGGCTTAGGCTTCACTTTTAGTGAAACATGGTTTAGTATTTATTCCATCATTTTTCAGCAAGTCCAAAGCAAACCTCACGCGGTAGAAGAATCTAAATTGGCGGGTTTTACATTACATTCTAGTGCTTCAATTTTAACATATCAGATGCACTAAGGTCGGTGAAATTAACATGACCGTCAAATGCATCAAGCATAATATTTCCCTCGATGAAAAAGTAATCTAATCCTTTCAGCGTCTTCAAGTTTGATGCGTTTAAGGTGAAGCAACATACAAATTTTGTACTAGTGCTCGAAGCTAGATCTACATCAACAATTCACCGTATATAACCCGTTGTCGTATGGCCCGTATGAGCTGCTTCCAAATCACAAACCACCTCAAATACTACCACTTGATTTGGGCCGTTAGCGGGTCAAGCCATTCTACTAATCTGGACAAAGTACCACATAAATGGTGATATATAATAATTCAAGGGGCTTGATTAGGATTTAGGACTTAGGAGAGAGAAAGTGGAAAAATAAGATTGAAGTTTTCCATTGATTAAAGTTGATGGTTTCTTTAGCAATTTAATATGGTTTCTGGATAAATTGTTGAGGGGAGATGGAGATGGGAAGAGAAAGAGAGGAGCATGTGGGTCATACTAAGTCTTGGACCCTTTAAAAGATATATAACGGCTTGACCCTTTAACAGCCCGGCTATCCGTGAAAAGCCAATATATGATCAGCCAGTAAATAACCCGCCCCATTAATGAAGTTAATAGGGCTAGACCCTTTTTAAGTTTGGCTAGGTTAGGGCTTTTATTGGGGGCCTGCCCATTTGCACAAGTCTAGTAGCCAATCGATAGTTTAGTTTCCTTATCATGTATTGAAGATCAATCGTTTCTTCTAATTGTATGAACTTGGAGGTAACATTTCCTTTAATTTGTACAATTGTAATCCCGACTTTACCTGTTAATTAATGGAAAACATTTGCATCTTTTGTCATATGTTTATGTACACCTTTCATTAAAAATCTAACTTGTCTAAACTTCTTTGAGGATAACTTTTTTAATATTTTGTTTGTGTTACGTTAACGAGGTTATCAAACTTGAAACCAATAATAATAGGGGCAGTCGCTTAGTACACTAGAACAAGATAGGTATTTGACTTGTTGATAAAGAACAATATTTACCTCAACAGGGTTTTTTTAGTGAACTTGAGCAAATAAAATTGTGTGGAACACTTTATGGGGTTAGGGGGTTTATATGCTCCTTATAAAACCATTAAAATAATATTTACAACTATGTCATTAATTAAACAAAATCAAAGTCTCCTTCAAATTCCTTTTTGGACCTTTAAAACACTTTAAATTGGTCCAATACTTCAGTTTGCCCCTATTAACTACATTCCATTAATTAATAAAATACATTTAATGTAATCTTCCATATTTTTAAAGTAATTTATAAGATATTTCTTTATTATTTATACAAATATTTTATTTCGTTTTCATTAAATAAATTATTTTATGTAAAAATATAATTGAACTCTATTAAATTATTAGGCACTAATTTAATTTAAAGTTCACTTTCTATACACCAACTTACTTTGTCAATAGTCTTAGTAGCCACCTTATAAGTAAAGAGAGCTTAAACTCCTATTCAAGCGCAAACTACAGTTCCTACTCCTACTTAAATTGGAAAACCAAGCCCACATGCTTATATAAAAACCCCAAAAATCCTCAATTCTTTCCCCCTCATCTCACGTTACTTTCTATATTGCTTTTTCCCCCTTCTTGCTGTTTCACGATAAAATAAATAAATAAAAAATAAAAAAAATTTGCTGCAGCCGACACCTGCCCACCACAGACGCCACCCTGCTACCTCCGGCGACCACAACGCACCACCACCGCTCAGCAACTAGTTCACCCTCTCACTTTTTCCTTTCTTATTTCTTTTTCTTTTGTTAAACTATTTCAAGTTTCAATCTTTAATAAGTTTTTAATTTTTTAATTGTTATTATTATTGTTTAATAATAATAATCACCCTAAAAGACTACAAATTTATGAGTTTTACTTGTTTTAATTTAGTGACTAAAAATTTAGATTTTAATAAGTATGAAAATTGGGTTCAAAATCTTGATTTTTCATGGTCTTAGGGTTTAAACTTGTTGATTAAGTAATCTAATTATATTATGTCTAAATTATGTTAAAACATAATTATTTTGATTCTTTTTAAAATTTCAGATTATTTAAGTTTCAATTTTAGGGTTTAAATTGTATTATTTTTATATTCTTATGTTCCTAATCTCATAAAACAATGGTTGTGAGTATTTTATGATTATAATGCTTTGAACTTTAAAGTCTAATTTTAAGAATTAATTTTCAGATTATTGTTTAATGTTTTTGAAGTCTCTAATTACATTGAATTTGTGAATTTTTGGGTTT